AAAAGAGCTATTTATAAAAATTCAATATTATTTTATATATTGTTCAAAATATTTTATATCAAAAGCAAGATATTTGTATATAAATATAAAAATTTAAATATTGAAAAATGCTCAGCCATTTTAATAAAAGCTACACAATAAATAAAAAAAATATGTAAAGTTTATAAAAAAATAATTATATATATATACATAGATCTCATTTACTCGATTTGAATATTTTTTTGTGGAACTCCTTGCCGTAGAAATTTTAATCAATTAAACGTTAAAAGTTATTTTTATAAAATCACACACATCAAATTATAATCGCAGGCTCAACAAAAAGGAGACAGAAGAACCGCCTGAAAACTGCCAGCCTAAAGATATTTTTAAGTCTTAACAAGCTGGTGGAAAAAAAAATAGAAATAGAGAACCGCACTCTATAGACTCTTACGACTTTGCTAAAGTTAAACTTACTGTAAATCAAGCGAGTTGAAAAATCGTTGTGTAATTTCCATTTAATAAATACCTTTTACTTACTGTTTAAGGCGAGAGTTGACCAAGTCAATACACTCCTTTGTGAGGGTGTTCAAAGTCAGCCAAGTCGAAGCTGAAGTTGGTTGCCTGCATTGCTGCTGCGGTTTGTAAACTTGAAAACTGGAAACTGACTAAGAGGAGATAGGCAGAAGCAGAGAGGGAGGCAGACGAGGGAAAGACCGGTTTTGCAGACTTGAGAAATGCATAAGGCGAAAAAGAGACAAGCTCCAAGCATAAACATAAACGCTGGCAATCAACTGAGGCTTGGCAGTCGCAAAAGAGGTCAAAGTTGAGCACGGCATTCGCATGCGTGTACATACATACATGCATATGCATATGTATGTACTTATATGCATATATATTAAAATACTCGAGTATTAACTTTATCTACGTGCTGCATTAAGGCTGGCGGTGTAAGAGGCGTTAACTCCTAATGGCTGAGCAGTTCGTTCTTTTAAAAGTCCTATAATTATTTAACAAATACAAAAGCTAGCATTCATATATATGAAAAGATGGTTTGTATTCGAAGGATATAGTGGCTAGAAAGAAAGTTGTAATAATATAAACTCTCTATCTAGCTCATATTCTTTTTATATTTATCTCTCAATTTTAATCTAATCTCTTTCTTTGCCTCTATCTCTCTCTATTTTTTCTATCTCTGAATCTTTGCCTCCCTCTTCCTATCTCTCTCAATCACCCTCTATCTCTCTCATTCTATCTTTCTTTCTCTGTCTCTCTCTCTTTTTCCTCCTCTCTCTTAATCACTGTATCTCTTCCTTTACTTTACTTTTACTTTTCTATTACTAATCTCAGTCTCTCTCTAGGCAGAGATCTTCTGGACTTACAAATCTGTTTACATTCATGTCCGGGCTTGCAACATTCTTACAAAGTGATATTATTAGCAATGAACTCGAGTTTATTGTCCATTTGTATTATTAGCACTTATCCCATGGTACTGATTGCATTGAGGATCTATTTATAAAATGCAGACGACTTCAAGTGAGAGTTCAGACAGAATGCCATGCTATAAGTGCTGCTCACTCTTCATATGTCTGGAATCTCGCATAGTATTTATTATTGTTTATTTACAAATATCGCACTTAGTATACAGTACAACGATTCTTACACCCATAAAGCAGCTGTCTCCCACGACTAACTGAGTCAGATGTCTAGGTGTTTATAATTACCTTCACGACACCGCCATTCAGATGAAATTATGAGATTGCAGCTTTCACACCCAATTGTAATTATACTTTTTATAATTTATGATCATTTTCCAAACACCTTTTCCCTGCCGGAACCCTCAATTAAAGTTGCTGCCATAAATCTGAGATGAGCGCACAAGCATGAAGTATATATTTATGTATGTACATATGTATATATAATATATAAATATATATTTTTTTTGGTTCTATTTTCTTTTCAACTCTTGTTGAATATGCTCAACAGATGCTGGCAGTTTTGCGTTTTGGCTGTTTCATCTCGCAGCAGCTTAAGATAAACCAAATGAAATCACCATGAACTCATAATGAGTCAATAATTCAATTTATATTCCACTCATATTTGAGCATTACCAATAATATCACTAATTTGTTTAGCACTTAAAATCTGCCATCGAAAAGAATGAATCTCAAAATGAAATATTTGTGTATTATAATTATTATTTATGTTTATACTTGGTTTCATATGGTATCATATGAAATTCCTTGGTAAAGATCTTCTAGTAAATCCTTAGCTTAGCTTAGTTTAACAAAGGAACCCCACAGGAACTGATGCCTCAGCACTCATTCCAGGGTATTTTCTACCCAGTTACTCCCTTCCAAGCTCGAAATGTGTTTTTGGAGTTGTACAGGGCAAACAGTTTGGGAATGCGGTGTTGTTGTTTAATTTGAAACCAGCCGAAACGTCATTTAGCTGTCAAACGGCGACTTCGCTCTTCAAAACTCCGGGAAACAGCCTCGTACATGATTATTCCAGATTCAATTAAAACTCGACCCTGCGTAGATCGCATTGATTGACAGGGGGGAATCCCATTTGACACACAGCCGTCGAGTCGAGTAAGTGAACGCTGAAGGAGTTTCGGGTACGGTTTCTAGGAATATTACAAAGTCTATTAACAGCTCTCAACATGCCGGCATATTGTTTGGAAATTTGCTATGTAGATCGGACTAAAATCGCTTTGTGTTCCAGTTAAGGGCATAAAAATCATATTAATTATGAAAATTGTGCCGGGCATTTATCAAAAAAAAAAAAAAAAAGAAAGAGAAGAAAAAATCAAAGCGCGTTCATTTACCAAAAATATTTCACACAAACTGGCAGCCAAAGCTAATACAAAGATTTTAATTAACAGCGAGCATATTATTTATGAGCTTGTGAGAATTTACTGGAGAGCAGCAGCAGCAGCAGCAGCAGCAGCAGCAGGAGGAGGAGAGATGCAGAAGAAGGAGGATTAGATTGGGGGCAAATGCTTGGGCAACAAAGTCTTCAACCAATTTGAATTTTATTTGTTGATCAAAAGCTGCGCGTTCTTCATAATCATAAACTTTGCATATTTATAAAAGTTTATGACACTGGGCAGGAATCGGCCGCCAGGGCTCGGCAGGCTCGGTTATGATGCGTGCGTCCATCGTCAGTTGCACACGTTCGAGATTTACAATTGGCCATAAATCTTCAGTGCTCCCCTTGCTGCAGACGGTGGCAGTTGCCCATTAAGCGACACCAGGAATCAAAACATTAAAAGTAGCGGTTGCCCATTGAGCCAGGAGGAGGGAGCAGCAGCTGGAGGAGGAGGGGCAGCAGGGGCAGCAGCAGCAGCAACAGCAGCAGGAGGCGTGTGTCAGGAACGGCCGCCGGCGGCGTCTGCCAGCACTTGCTTTCGCTTTTCAGGGGCTGCTGACATGGCCATCAGCCGTATAGTAGTGTTAGTGGCTGCCACATGCAGCATGCAACATGCAGCATGCAACATCTCCTCCAGTTTGTTTACTCCGTCTGTCATAAAATTTAAATGCGTACTTTGGCGCTAATTTAGTTGACGCTGGCGTCTGCCGATTTGCCGGAAGATGTGCATTCGCTTAATTGGACTAGCCCCGCCCCAAAATCACAAACTAGACACAGCCTCCGTTTAGAGTTGCTTTGCAGCTAGTGGGCGTGGCGCGTTGCTATTTTCGTTGCACTCGACTGAGAGTCGATTGAGTGCGAGTGAAAAGAGTGCGGGATTTGGAAAAGGTGTGAAATTCTAGGAAAAAAGTCTGGCAGCTGAGCAAAAGTGAAATTTTCTTGATCTTTAGATTATTTTTGTATTAAACGTAAACAAATGATGTTGAGTTAAATTCTATTTTCTACCCCCCTGTTTAGACATTGTTTTGTACTTGAAATCATTATTAATTTATGAGC